ATTTAGTGTGTATGTACTTTTTTTTAAAGTACTTTGAAATATACTTTTAAAATATTGGTAAGATTATATGCATGCTAGATTTCATACTGTATCTCAGTAGACCTCAACAACTGTAGTTGGGATATGATGCCACCTGTACCTATGATTCATTTTAAAATACCTTGGAAATCAGGTCAAGTTTTCCTGGCAAGAAATGTAAAAGTTAAAAAGAAACGGAGAAGTTAAAATATAAAAGTTTTTAAAAAAATTAAAAAGTTAAAAAAAAAAAAAGTAAAACTACCAACACTTGGTCTGGCAATGGTGACTAATGATTTTAATCTCAGCACTTGGGAGACAGAGGCAGGGGTTAAAGGCAGGCAGATCTCTGAGTTCAAGGCCAGCCTGGTCTACTATCAGCACTTAGTGTTTTTGAAAGTCAACCAATGAGCTGCAGGTCGGGGAGCTGGGCCTGTCCCTGCTAAGTAGGAAGGTGTGCTGATGACTGCTGATCTGTGCCTGGATAGCACACCTCACCATCACAGAACTAATGTTAATACCACTCCCTTGCACACTGAGTTCAAGATTGAAAACCTGCAAGTATTTTTACCTAAAAGTAATCACACTCTCTGCCAGGTGTGGTGGAACATGCCCCTAATTCCAAAAGCAGGAGGCAGGAGCAGACATCTCTCTGTGGTTTTCCAGTTCAGCCTGGTCTACATATCTAGTACCAGGCCAACCAAGGATACATATGGAGACCCTGCCTCAAAGAATAAAAGTAGCTAGGTGTAGTGGCACACGCCTTTTATCTCAGGACTAGGGAGAACAGAGGCAGGCAGATCTGGATGAGTTTGAGGCCAGCCTGGTCTACATAGTTCCAAGACAATCAAGACTGTATAGTGAGACTGTCAAGGGGAAAAAAAAAAGTGTCCTGGATCTTGATTGTGGCAGCTTACAGTGTGTGAGATAAAGCCAAGTTATAAGCATCAGTCCCAGTACCCAAGGAAAAACAGTCCTAATATAGCAGGACTGTATGCTGTCTGTTCTGCCCAAAGGTTTGATACATTTCAATGTTAACCTGCATTTGCACTGGGGTATTTGGAAAACTTTCCATGCCGTCCACTTGTAGAGGAGGCAGAGTAGAGGTGAGCATGCAGCTTGTCTGAGCTTAGCTGTCCCCTCACAACCCTGAGCCTGCGTGGTCTCTTCCAGGGAGTCCAGGCTCTCCCACCTCTGGACTCTTTGCGTTGCTGTAGTATAGGCTATCAGGTGCTTTTGATGCAGTTACTAGTGTTGGCTAAAGAGTCATTTCTGACAAATAGGCCTCTCTGAAGGCCTGTTTTGTTTCCATACACGATTCTTAACTGCTACAGCCCAGACTGGCCTCAAACTTGAGAACCCTCTGCTTCAGTCTCCCAGGTACATGTCACCATGCCTAGCCTAAAGAAGGCAAGAATCCTACAGTTTTCAAGTTTAAATTGGTCTTATTATATTCAAACTTGCAATGCCTAGCATTTCTTCCTCTAGAATATTGCCTTTAAGAAAGCAGTTTCTGTCTGAGAGGTGGTGGTGCACACCTTTGATCCCAGCACTCAGGAGGCAGAGGCAGGTGGATCTCTGTGAGTTCGAGGCCAGCCTGGTCTACAGAATGAGATCCAGGACAGGCTTCAAAGCTATATAGAGAAACCCTGTCTCAAAAAAAAAAAAAAAAAAAAAACAGACCAGTGTCTGTCAAATGTTTCATTGCTGTGCTTCTGGGCTGAGGACCTAGACAAGAAAAATCATGTGGATTTGTTTTGTAGAGGCAGACAGGTCTTACTGTGTGGCACTGGCCTGGAACTCTGTGGAGCAGGCTGACATCAAACTACAGCATCCTTAAGTGCCTCTGCCTCCTGAGTGCACCACTGGCGTACATGTGGAATTTTTTATTTTGAGACAGGGTCTCAATCCCTAGTGAGCCTAGAACTCTGCTTAGTCCAAGTTGGCCTCAAGCTCAGAAATCCTCCTGCCTCTGCCTCCACAGTGCTGGGATCAAAGGTATGTAGCACCACAAGCACCCTATACATTTGAATTTAAACATGCATTTTTGCCTAAAGGAATGCAATCCGAATACATTGGAGGAGGAGCAGGAGTATTAAGTCATCCACTGATATAATGAGTTAAGCCAACCTGGGCTACATGAGACCCTGGGGGAGGGATACCTAAGCATGATGGCATATACCTTTGATGCCAGCACACCGGAGGCAGAGACTGGTAGATCTCTGAGTTCAGCCAGCCAGGATTACATAGTGAGACCCTGTCTCAATTTTTTTTTTTTTTAATTAAAAGAGGCTGAAGAAATAACTCAGCAGTTAAGAGCACCCCCTACTCTTGCACAGGACCTTAATTCACTTCCCAGCACCCAACATGTGGCTCACAACCTGCTGTAACTACCAGTTCCAGGGGACTCAGTGCCCTGGAAGTACCAGGCGGCAGGCAGGCATATGCATGTGCATAAACTCAGGCTAACCACTCATACACAGATAATAAGAGATCTTTTTTAAATTTTTTTTAAAATTTTTTTCTGCCAAGAAGTGGTAGTGCACGCCTTTGATCCCAACACTTGGGAGGCAGAGGCAGGCGGATCTCTGAGTTTGAGGACAGCTTGGTCTACAGAGCAAATTTCAGGCCAGCCAGGCCATAGCTACACAGAAACCCTGTCTTGAAAAAATTAAATTTTTCTAAAGTTGTTCTTCATGATACAGTTGTGTACCAGTCTTGTCATTTGACAAGCTATTGATAGTTGCATTCATCAGTGGCAGTAAAACAGATGCCAAGTAGAAACTATCCCAGAGGTCCTGGGACAGCCTTCCCGGCTGTCGAAAGTGGAGGAATGGGGGTGCCCGACACTGTTCTGTGCTGTTACTCTTAGGTCCTGTCCCACTTGCCATGCCTGGAAAGTTCTTGATCAGAGCTATGTGTGGCAGCTGGCTTCTAGTCAGATGTCACACACTGCTCTCCTCAGCTGAGGGCCTGCAGTGGGAGCCCCGCTCATAGTGAGACCCAGTGGAGGAATGGTGGGTGCCTGCTGTGTGCCTGGCATCATTATTCTGTGCCGGTGCTGTTAGGCCCAGCCCCAGCTACCATCCCTTTAAAGTATAAAGAGCCAAGGTTCTTGTGTGGGCTAATGTGATGGCTAGCTGCTAATCCCTGGACATTGCAGATAGAGAAAATACCCAAGGGTGCTGAGAAGGGGTCATTCTCTGCATGCAGCATGGCTAGAGAAGAGAACGGGCAAAATTCCATTCTGGGGAGCTGTCTGCCAGGTGACAGTGGGACGTGGATGGTGCAGGTCGCAGCACTTCTAGGGACTCAGCAGCACTTGCAGGGACTTGCTGCTCGCAGGCAGTTCAAGGCCAGCTTCATCTACATAGCAAGTTCTAGGACAGCCTGGACTACTTAAAGAGACCCTGTCCCTAAAACTAGAAACCTGACATTCCCACCTGGTCTGCCTGCTCCTGCCTGTAATTTCATCACTTGTTCTGCCTCAAGTCCCACATGCATTTCCTGAGGTATGTGTCACTCAGGACCAGCAGAAAGATTTTTGAGGCAAAGCAACAAGGAAATGATCAGAAGGGTGATGTCTCCAGTCCAGGAAGAGCCAGTGTGGTCTGGAGCTCTCTCCCCAAAGTGGTCTTGCACAACGGGTTTTATGTCAAGTAAAAAAAACTAACATTTTAAAAATGGAAACTAGTACCTACATATACCCAGAGCAGACAGGACCCTGAGCTATCAAAATGATGGGATTAGAACTCCTGAAAGTGTCATGAAGTCAAGTGTTAGGTTGAAAAACAAAATCTTGGTGTGCAGGAGCATTATTCTAAAGAAAGCTTTTGGACTCAATTTTGTGGCTGTTTTGAGATGATGATTAAGTGAAATGAGACTTTGGTGGCAATCCCGAGCTGATGAGTGACTGAAGGCAGCATGTCCAGTTCGTAGTGTCCAAACAGTTGTTTGAAAATACTTTTGAAAGCTTTTGATTTTTGCAAAGCTTGTGGTCTGACGTTGGGTCTTGCACAGTTCAAGTACTCAGGCACAAAATTGTGTCCACCCCTTAGACCTCACGCCATGGCCTGAGCAGCATGGCTCCTGGCTCTTGTGGCTGGAGGGCACTGTACAATGGCCCTACGCCAAATGCCACCCTGGGAGGGGCACAGCCAAGAGTGAGAGGTGGCAGCATTGTCACAGAACAGAGCTTCAGGGACTTGGCCAAATTCCACCATCACAGTGGTACTTATTTTCAGGTTATTAGGTGAATTGGGTGTTGTAAAGCATGCCTGTACTTGGGAGGCTGAGGCATGATATACAATGAAATCATGCCTCAAAAAGGGTCGGGGCGGGAGAGGGATAGGAAGGCACATCTTTAATCCCATCGCTCTAGGATGTGGAGGCAGACAGATCTCTGTGAATTTGAGGTCAGCCTCGTCTATGTAATGAGTTCCAGGACAGCCAGGGCTACATAGAGAGACCCCGTCTCAAAACAAATGCTTTAAACTCATCTCTTTATCTCAGGCCACAAACTCACTATGTAAACCAAGAATGACTGTCAACCTCCTGTCTCTACCTCTGGAGTGTTACCACACCCGGTTTGTGGTACTGGGGATCAAACCTAGGGCTTTGCAAATGCCAGGTGAGCACTCTTGTCAGCTGCTGAGCTACATGACCCAGATCTTGTTTTACCTTGCTGTGTTTCCCAAGCTGGCTTGAACTTGTGATCCATTTCCATATCCCAAGTGCTGGGATTACAGGCAGGTGCCACCACACTGCCCAGTTTTAGAGATGTTTTTTTCTTTCTTCCTTTATAGTCCTGACTTGGTTTTGGTTTTTTTTTTGAGACAGGGTCTCTCTATAGTCCTGGCTGTCCTCAAACTTACAGAGATCTGCCTGGCATCTCTGACATGCTGGGATTAAAGGCATATGAAACCATGCCCAGCAAAATTCGGTTTTTTCTTTTCTCCCTCTCCTCCACCTTTTTTGTTTGTTTGTTTTGTTTTTTGAAACAGGGCTTCTCTGTGTAGCCCTGGCTGTCCTGGAACTTATTCTGTAGACCAGGCTGGCCTCAAATTCTTGAGATCAGCCTGCCTATGTCCCCGACCCCATGCTGGGATTAAAAGCATGTACTGCCACCACCACCTGGCTAATGGGTTTTTTCTTAATTAAAATTTAAAAAGTACTGTATAGACTTTGAAGTCCTCAAAGGAGTAAGGAAGGTCTTGCCCTGCTTCTGACCCTTGTATATTTCTTGAATGTGTTTTCAGATTTTTAGACATCCCAGTTTTAGGTAAGGGTAGCTCCACCTGTCACTTCATAGTTCACCATTCTCTCCACAGCAGTCAAGGCCACAGCTCTGACCAGACGGCATGTATCTCAGAATCTACACTTCCAGAAATGTTCTGATGCTACCAGCCCAGGACCACTGTGAGTAAAGGGCACTATTTACTTGTTTTGTGGAACAATTGGGAAAAAGATAAGACCATCTTTTTTAAACTGACAGGAGCTGGGTACATGTGTGGAGGTCAGAGACCAACTTGTAGGAATCTGTTCTCACAGGTCCAGGGCTAGGACTCATCAGGCTTAGCAGCAAGCACCTTTATCCCCTAAACCATCCTGCTGGCCCCAGAACATCTCTTCTTGCAGTTCTGTAGTTTGCCTAATGGTAATTTTCCATTCCCATCATCCCCTCCTTTTGTATTAACTTGGAATTCTGTTAGGAAGAATGCTACCTGGCCAAACATGTATGGATTGAAGGGTACCTGTTTTATGCTGTGGGCAAAAAAGCGTATGTGATCATGACCTCACAACTCACATGGCCAGCTGGGACCCTTCAGGATGGGCACACAGGTATCTCCAACTTCAGTGGCTACTATCTGAGCTCTTCCTTTCTGGCAAGTTCCAGACTTATCTTCCTCTAATTATTGACTTCCTCAGTGAGCCAGGCTTTTCTCGTTAGAGTGTGACACTAAATGTAGGATCTGTTTAGTGTCACTGTGTCCGAGATGCCCTAAGCAGAATTGGCTGGACCCATTTCATCTTTCATCCAGTTAGATCCCACCATAGGCTTCAAGCAGCCTACTCCAGCCTGATTTCTTTGTAGAACAGATGAAAGACTGAGCTTTAATTACCCTTAACTTACTTTTTTACTCAGTATTAATATACACAACCTATTTTCACAGTGCAAACTTTACTCAGGCAAGAAAATACCTGTTTACTATGATGTCCAGACACTACTTGCCAGCTACTGGGCTCCTGCTTGTCTCCCAGCCCCTCTGACAGCATGCTTTTGTAATTCAGTGAGGTACCCCTGTGTACTTGTAATTCAGTGAGGTACCCCTGTGTACTTATGTCTTCCCTTCCCCCTCCCCCCGGTCCCGACTCCTTCCTATCTGTCACATCCCATTCACTTCTGGCTTATTCATCTCAGATTTTTACACAAATGAGGAAGCGTGCTCCACTGTCTTCAGCTCTTTTCTCCTCAAGATGAGGATTTCTTTTGGGTTGAGCAGTACTGTGTGTGGGCTCAACTCCAGGTCCATTAGCTGGAGCTGGAAGACTGTCAGAATGTGGCAGCAGGGTGAGCTGGCCAGCAAGCTTCCAAGCCTTTGACTTACAGGGAGGCCTGTCCACTGGGCAGTTTGGCTTCTTCCCAGTATAGAGCCTGGGGTCCAAGAGAAAGTGCCCCAATAGAAAAGTGCAGCTGCCTGCATTAAATCTGGATGGACCCAAAACTAGGCTACATCACATTGTCCTTGTCCTACCCATCAACTTTTCCAGAGTTCCAGGGGAGGGAGCATACACACCCATCAGAAACTACAGAGTAGACCTGCTTTAGAACCATCAGATTTCCTAGATCAAACCTTCATCTTCAGCACCCTTTTAACAGTCATGTTTTGCTTGCACTTTTCATGTTCTATTTGCTATGTCACAGGAATCAATCAGTTCCTTCTATCTTAGCAGCATGCTCCTTGTGCCATGGCTTTGTGAACCAGCCTTTTCATCCTGCACAGGTACCTCAGAGGCTTAAATATGTTCATATTCTTGTGCTTTTTTATTTTGAATCTGTTTAATAGTTTAATAGCACTTTCCTATGTAGGCCAGACCGTAGGAGAATATTAACTATGTAAAGGTGTGTTGCATTTGTTTGTGCTGCATTTGTTTAACTATGTGAAGATGTGTTGCTGTTTCACCTTGCCTAAGGTATCTGACTGGTCTAATAAAAAGCTGAATGGCCAATAGCCAGACAGTAGAAGGATAGGCGGGGCTGGAAGAGAGAATAAGTGGGGGGAATCTAGGCTCAAAGGAGAGAGGGAGAGCCAGGGGCCAGCCAGCCAGCCGCCAGCCAGACATGGAGGAAGCAGGAAAGTAGGACATAGAAAACGAAAGGTAAAAAGCCCTGAGGCAAAACATAGATGAAGAAAAACAGGTTAAATTAAGTCATAAGAGCTAGTGGGACAAGCATAAGATAAAGCTAAGCATTCATAACTAAAGTCTCTGTGTCATAATTTGGGGTCTGGTGGTCCCAAAAGGCCTGCTACGCCATACTGGCCTCAATGTTGTGGTCCTTCTGCCTCAGCTCACAAGTGCTGGAATTAGAGGGAGGCATGAGCTTATTTTGCAATTCTTAAGGTCTTCAGGGGAAAGTTCTGGCAATTCAAAACAAAGTGCTTATGTTGGCTTCTTGATGGGGTTTTTGTTGTTTTTTCTTTTTTCTTTTTTGTCTTTCCAGATCTTTGAAATATACCACATGCATGAAGATCCAAGGTGTTAGATCTCCTAGCTAGAGTTCTACACCAGTGCTCTTAACCACTGAACATCCCTCCAGCCTGCCCTGGGTTTTAAGATACTGCCCAGGTCTTCTCCACAGTTGTAACCATCTGTACTTCTGCCATGTCACATTCTACACTGTTAGCTCAAACCTGCAAGTCAGTATAGTTCTGCATCATCAACCGCATTAATTAGTGGCCAAAGCAGTTTTTCGAATCAAAACAATTGGATTTTGCTACATTTCAAATTTGTTATTCAGTAACTGAACAGCAGTAGTTATGTTTAAATGGATGAGTGTTTTGCCTGCATACATATCTGTGTAAGACTTCTGTGTCTGGTGCCTGCAAAGGCTAGAAGAGGGGCATCAGACCTGGGACTGGAGTTACACATGGTTGTGAACCACCCATGTGGGTGCTGGAAATGAAGCCCGGGTTCTCAGGAAGAGCAGCCAGTGCTCTCAACCACTGAGCCAGCTCTCAATCCCCCAGGCAGTCATTTTTTTTATATAAGCAGGCTGGTTGTGGTGGGACAAGCCTGTGATCCCAGAGGCAGAATGATTCTAGATTACTTAGTAACTGTCTCACAAAACAAACATACATACCTAGACTAGAAGCATAAAGGTGTGCAGGGCAAGGTAGCTCACACCACTAATCCTAGCACTCAGAAGGCAGAGTTCTCTTGAGTTCAAGACCAGCCTGGTCTATATAAAGAAAGAGTTCCTATCGCAAAGAAAAAAGAAAAAATCTTTTCACTAAAGCCATTTGGAAGTATATTTCTGTCATTCTGCCTGAAGGCTGAAGCATGAGAAAACTGCCCTTTTGCAACTATGGGTTAAAAAGAAAAGAAAAAGAAAGTCAGTAGGAGGGTGCCGCAGGAGAGATGGTTCAGTTTCCAGCACCCTACAGGGTGACTCACAACCACCTCCAGCTCCAGGGAATCCAGTGCCCTCTCTGGCCTCAAAGGACACTGCACTCATATGCTAGTGTACCATTTAAATAAAAATAAAATATTCAGGAGTCAAGTGTGATGCTGCTTGCCTTTAATTCTAGCACTTGGGAAGCAGAGGCAGGCAGATCTCTGAGTTCCAGGTCATCCAGAGCTACACAGTAATACTATTTCAAAAAAAGAGAGACCATCCCACCATCTTTCTCCAAATGAAAGCCATTTCCAGTAATCATTTAAATATAAACAAAAGACTGTTAAAATGTTACTTTTATTGAACTCACCTGAGTTAAGTGTGGGACAATGAAACAAGTACATGTTTTTATTTATATGGATATATACAGCATGTCAAGGAGGCAGCCTTTCAAAAACATGCTATGGAAAAGAGGAAGACTGACAATATGCCTGAATTAACAGAAGCTCTGGATACTGATTAACCCATATGCAAATCCAGTAATCTCCAAAGGATTTGGCAAAGATGTATTTTCTTTTCATTTCCAGTCTTTTAAAGTAAGACAGATTTGCTTACAATACAGCTGATTTTAAAAGCACACAAAATTTAACTACAAACAATAGGATTAAATGCAGCAGAGTGGAGAAGGTGCCAGCAACAAAACTGACAACCCAAGGCGGTGATGGCAGACAATGAGGCTGCACAGTGGGGTTTGTGGATAATTTTAGCTTCGCCTGGCTGTTTAATTCACATAGTAAGAGGTCTTTACAGACACACCTGTTTAATTAACTACATTTGTATTTTCTACTATGTAATAGGATTATAAGGCCACAATATTCCTTTGGGACAAACCCTTTAATGATTTTAATATCACTTACTCATTCTTTTGAAGTGTAAAGTGTCTTAACTGGATTATGATTATAGATCATTTTTAAATACACCATTGCTACTATATTAAAATTATTTATACTATTTATATCTAATATTCAAAGAAAATTTACTAATAAATGCTACAATAGGTATCAGTCTGACATGCTCATTAATTGATCCCATAGGTATAATTATAGGTCATGATATTAGTCTATTCTGTCTAACTAAATCAGGAACACTGCATTTACAGAACAAATAAACACACGTAGTGCAGACACCCAAGGATCATGCTAGTTCTTCAGTTATCTGTCACAGCTCAGACATGAATCCTCACTGTGTGAACAAAAGTCAGCTCCAGTTCTTCATCAAAAGGTGCTAGTGGACGTTGTCAGACGCCTTCCAATGTAGATCCTAGACAGAAAAGGAATGGCAGTCAATCAGGTCTCACAATTCTCAGGGCAGGTCACTGTGATTACAGCTTGCGCGTACACACACACACACACACACACACAAAGTACAAAACAACCACAAATGTTATCACTATGGAGCTTCGCAGTTCCTTCAGTGTGCAAAATGAGCTACACAGCTGTACCCCCCAAGAGAGGTGGCTTCACATCCACATCACTACTAACATCAAAGCCCAACCCAGGAATAAGAATGAAGCCTCCCTTCCCAGTCAAGTAGAGGGGAGTGAAAGTCTAGGAAAGGAGACAGGAAAGAATTCCAGCTGGCCAGGTCTGGGCGGAGTTGGGAGAAATAAGACTGTGGGCAGTGAGCTTTTCATCTCAAAAGACTGAAAGTTGCTAAGAGATCTTAGGTAGGGTGGCACCATCAAGCTCTGAGACTGGGAAGGATGCAGGACAGAGACAGTAGGTAGGAGCTGGATGCAGAAAGGATTTCCTGAAGAGAAACTCAGCTTGGGTACTGAACATGTAGATTCCTAGACCCAATCCACACGCCTTGCTGGTTCTGTTCTGTTTTTGTGTTTTGAGACAAGGTCTCAGTGAGTAACCCTGGCTGGCCTGGAATTCAGAGATCCCTGCCTCTGCCTCCCAAGTGCCACTGAACCCTACTACTTGTTAGTTCTGAGAAAAGTTCCAGGTGATTGGATGCACCTGACCATGAGACCAAGTACCAGGAGAGAACTGCACATGGGGAAGGGATGAAGGCAGGTAGGATTCCAGCCCAGCAAGCTCAGGAGCCTCTGGCACCCAGGAAGCCATTTCTATAGGAGGGTCCATACATCTGCGGGTCTGCAGTACAGGAGTTAAGGGCAGTGAGGACTGGAATTGGATATACCTGAGACCCACAAAATCCCAACAGATCAAACATGAAACAGACCAGGTGTCATAAACCACATGAACAGCCTTGGGGGAGGGGGAAGAATAAATAAGCAGACAACAGAGCCTTCAACCCAAAACATATCCCCAACTAACCGAGGCCAGAAGCCCACAGTGCCATCCAGGCCATTCCGATAACTCAAAGCCATACCACACTGTCTTTATATATGGTCTTATGAAATCATCCCCACATGGATAGAGGAGAGGGTAGCAGTAGGCCTAAAGAAAGTAAGGGCTGGGGATGTAGTTCACTTGGCAGAGTGCTTAGCCACCATGTATGAAGCCCTGAGTTTAACCCCAGGGCCATATAAATTAGGTGTGGTGGCACATGCCCATAATCCCAGCATTCAGGAGGTAGACACAGGAAGAATGAAGCCTAATCTCACCCTTGTGAGGCCAACTGGGAATCCATTTGTCCCAGTCCCTAGTGTCCCCTTGGTAGCCTGCTCTGGCTCTTCAGCACTGGTCTCATCTAGAGAATCCACAGCTCTATTCCCTGGTCTATTTTAGTCTAACTTGATACAAAACCAGAAAGCCTGAAGGCCTTATTTATTCTACTATTGCCAAGAATTCAACAGAACCATCCACCCACTATAGAGGTAGCACAAGAAAGAGGCTGGACATGAGAACTGTGTAAGACATGCTGGATACAGGGGCAAGGGCCTTTCACAGCACAGTTTCTGTACTTCTTGACATAACAGCGACTTGGAAGTAAGTTTGTGAAAATGCACCAAGCTATGATCTCTCTCTCTCTCTCTCTCTCTCTCTCTCAATAACCAATGAGAATATCTATTCTGGGGTCTACAATTGCCAAGGCCCACCCTGCTAGCACTCACAGAAGTATCACTTACCCCAATCCAATGGCCAGCAGGTGAGACAGCAACAGAGATGGAAGAAAAACCTTCAGAAAGTCTGCTGAGAAAATGCCTCCCTTCTTCATAACACTTGTGTTTCTCATGCTGAGAGTAGCTGTGCGCTTCGGGTGTTTAAAAAGGAACTCCCTGGGTGGAAAGAAACTACCATTCAGTATGTCCTCTTGTAAAGGGAAGAGCCCATGATACTGAAAACACTTACTTGGGGGGGATATTTTCTGGCCGACTTGACCAATCCCATATCCAATCTGAGTTTTTCTTCAAGATGCTTTCAACTTCTCTTCTTCTCTCAATGTAATCTTCCTCAGACTAAGGAAAAGTATTAATAAAACAAGTGAGCTTCCCACATTCACACCAAGAGTACCCATAGTCTCTTATGTCCTTGTTGAAGCCTTTCTACAGACTGCCAGGAGAAGGTGTGGTCCAGATTAAAGGTGGATCTTCCCACCTCAAAGATCTAGATGAAAGGTTTATCTTCCAACTTCAAAGTGGGTCTTGCAACTTCCAATGATTTAATTAAGAAAAAATCCCTCCCAGCTATGCCCAGTCATTTGGGTTTTAGTTAATTCTAGATTTGTCAAGTTGACAACCAAGAATAGTCATCACAATTTCACCCCTTTCAATTTAACACACAATCCTGTCTCCTTATGCCATGCTTAATTTCCAAATGAAAACAATAACCAGGCCATAACTACACCTAACATGGTATTAACTATCCCATGTACAACTGCAAATGCATTATAAATTTAGACATTTAGGTAGCAATGTCCTTTGAGGGACATTCTTAGTATCTCAAACTAAAATATGATAACCACTGACATTCTCTTAACTTACATTGTATGATAACTAAATCAAGTAAAGGAAACAAATATCTGTAAACATATTTTTAACAAAATATGACAGAAACATTCATGTCAATTATAGTCCTCATTTCTACAACTGGTCACATGGCCTTAGCAACTGAAATTTAGAACTACCTTCCTCTACTACCCATTCTGTATTTCCTCCACCTTCAGCAAGTATGTCAGGGAATCTTGGTTCTTTTCCTGGGGGCGGGGGGTATGTGACCCATACCTTCAATCCTGAAGAGTCTGTGCCCTTTGTCATCCTGCCTAGATTAAACTGCTATAGTTTCCTATTGACTTCAATCACAGGACATAGTAGCTCTAAAGGATCCCCTGCATCCTAGACATGTTTCTTAGCTCCACGGTGGAGAAGCAATCCAATTTCCCCCTGCTAATCTGGATCAATCACCCTTCCCAACACTTTTATTCCTTTCTTAGCCTTGGAATTTTGCCTTTCTTGGCTTAAGGGGAATCACAAAATAAGCTTCCAGTTCAATGGAATGTTTGCTGTGTCTCCTGGCAGAACCACCCACCACCATCACGCAAAAAAAAAAAAAAAAAAAAAATCTAGACCAGCAGAACTTAAGGTCACAGAACAAAAGAAAAAAGTTCCCTAGGAGTAATCACCGGTGGAACTACTCCCTTTCCCACCCCTTGATTTTTGGATCCATGGATCCTGGTTATAGAAGAAACTACCATATACTGGGCACTGATTTAAAGGGTATACCACCTTCTGGAGAACCTTGCATGCCCTCCAGGCTGCTGAAACCTAATTGGCCCTGTGTCTACAGAAGGTTAATCCATCTATCAGGCCAGCTGCTTCAGATGGTGGGGAACATGGTAATGCCAGTGGATTCCATGATCATGGGCCTACTGTCACAGTTGTCTGGCTGTGAAGTGAATTTTTTGGTCAGAAGCAATGCTGTGTAGTGGATAAGTATTCTGTAAGACCACTGATGGTGGTTTTGGCAGAAGCATTATGTGCAAGAAGAAAGGCAAATCCATGACTAGAATAAAAATCTACCCCAGGAAGGACAAAGTGTTGTCCTTTCCATGGAGAAAGTGGTTCATGTAGTCAACCTGCCACTAGATCTCTGACAGTGCCATCCATGTCTAGGGCTCAGTGCTGGTCTCTGCTGTTGGCAGATCTGGCACTCAGCAGAAGCTGTAGCCAGTCAGCCTTGGTGAGTGGCAATTCATGTTGCCGAGCCCACACATAACCGCCATCTCTGCCACCTTGGCCACTTTGTTCATGGGCCCACTGGGCAATGACAGGAATGGCTTTGGAAAGAGACTGACTCTCCACAGAATGGGTCATCCTATCTACTTGATTACTGAACTCCTCTTCAGCTAAAGTCACCTTTCAATGAGCATTTACATGGAACATAAGTATTTTCACATCCTTTTCCCATCTGGAGAAATCTGTAACACATACTCCTTCCTGAGATGTCCTCCAAACTCCTGACCATCCAGCCAATCCATTGGCTACAGCCTATAAATTCAGTAAACAGTCGTTTCTCTTTCAAAACAAACTGTATGACCATGTATACTGCCCAAAGTTTTTTTGCCCATTGTAAAGATTTCCCTTCTCTGGCGTTGTCTTTCAGGGTTGTCTCAGAAAGGGGTTGTAATGTTGTAGCTGTCCACTTCTGATTCACTATTTTCCCTGGCAGAGGCAACTTGAAAGGCCTTCAATTTGTCTTTCCAACCATAACAGCCCTCACTCCACAAGTCAGGGAACCAATGTAAGAATTCTGCCAAGAGTTCACAACTATAACTCTAGTTCCAGGGGATCTGATACACTCATAAAGACATTCATGCAGGGAAAACCCCAATAATTAATTAAATAAATAAAACTTAAAAAAAAAAAAAAAAGAATTCTGCCAACTTCTTTTTTTTTTTTTTTTTTTTTTTTTTTTTTTTTTTTTTTTTTTTGAGACAGGGTTTCTCTGTGTAGCTTTGCGCCTTTTCCTGGAACTCACTTGGTAGCCCAGGCTGGCCTCGAACTCACAGAGATCCGCCTGTCTCTGCCTCCCAAGTGCTGGGATTAAAGGCATGCGCCACCACCGCCCGGCAGAATTCTGCCAACTTCTAAGTATACCTATCCTAAGTAAACATTCTGGGACTAGGGAAATAACCACAGGATGAGCTTAGGTACCACTGGACCTACTCTGAGTCAAACTTCAGCCAAAAAT